TTACATGGTTTTATTTTCTGTATTGATATTTTCTTTCATTATCTCTCCACAAATACAAACTTCAATGCAACAAAAGGAACGAAACAACAACAAAACAAAAACAGCAAACAAAAGAACATATTCCGGGAATAAATAATAATAGTAAAAAAAAAAGAATCAGATATGATAAACACTGCACAGATACTCCATATGAGTAGCAGAAAAATTACAGCAAAGAAAAAAGAAAAACAAAAAGAGGTGAAAAAAATGAGAAAAACCAAACAGTAAAAAATTTAGGGGGAAGAGATAAAAAAATCATTCTGATCTACTTCGTCCTCTCTTCCTTTGTTTTTTTTTTTTTTTTTTTTTTACTCATTTGTTTGACTTTCTATTACTTTGGTTCTTCTTTTTTATTTCTTCTCCTGCTACTTATCTTCCTATCGACATCAGAACAAAAAAAAAAGAAAAAATATTTCTTTTTTTTTTTCCTGTATTACTATTTCTTCGTAAAACATCTTGCCAAGACGGAATATCAATCATACAGATGTTGATAATCGTCGGAGGAGAATAATTCCATGTAAATAAAAAGCAAGGCAGAGTCTACGTATATCCGAAAAGTAAAAAAAAAAAAATGTTGCAATAATAGGTTATCATATCTAGATTCTTTTCCCTCTCTTTCTCTTCTTCTGTTTTATCCCTTTTATTCCTTTTTCTCTCAATTCCCTTCCGTCATTCATTCATTTCGTCAGCCGAGACAATTCCAGAATTCTTTTTTTTTTTTTTTCTTTCCTTTCTTTGAGGGTGAGGAGGAAAGGGGAGAATACGGGTGGGGAGTTCTTATTATTCCTGCTGGTGTTACAGTTACTACGGACCTTTGTTTACATCTCAGCCTCTCGTCTGTTACCGTCTCTTGCCCATATAAAATAGTGCCATACTTTAGCAGTAATCAATGCAATAGGAATAACAGTAGGCACACACCAAATAGAGTCAAAGACACACAAACAGGGAAAGGAGAGAGAGAGAGAGAAAGGGAAAGATAAATAATATAAATATATATATAAATATATATATATATATATATATATATATAAACAAATAAGGAGAGAAAATAAGACTAAGAGTATGAGGAACAAGGAAGTTAGAGAGTATTTAAAACCTTACTCCTCTCTCATTCTCTTTTTCTCCCTTTTATGGATGATTTTATTTTTTGTTTCCTTTTTGCTGAATATGAAGGCAAGAAAAAAAAGAAAGAAAAAAAAAAAACGAATTGTCCTAACTCAGTGGTGGAGTCCATCATAAACACACACTCTTCATTTCACTCCATTCTACGTAATCTCCAACATGAGAGACACCCTTTCCCTTTATCCTGCAAATCACACACCTACACACTATGGAGAAAAGGGGGAAAAAACGCAGTACTCGCCTCATATTTGGTCATTTTTTACCACAAGTGACTAGACCATCTCCCCATATCTACTTCGTTCTTTTTTCTTCTTCATTTTACCTTCTCTTCTTCACATCTACTACATCTTTTAACTGTATGCCTTTTTTTTCTTTGCTTTTCTCCTCTTCCTCAAAGCTCCACATCCACATACACACACTCCCAAATGGATTAATATACTTCCCTGTGCACATGCATGGGCCCAATTTACCACATTACTCTACTCTCTCCCTCTCTCTCTCTCTCTCTCTCCCTCATCTGAGTGAAAGAGACATATATACACAAACTGTACGTATAATAAATAAATATATATATATATATATATATACGCCTAGGGGTTGGCGGCGTCTGCCTCATTGAGTGCTTCCTGTATTTGCAGCACCTGCGGTTGCTGAGCCCATGCGGGATCTTTGAGAAAAGTGCGGTCGAGTACTGTACGAACGGCGAGACGCACATTTCCCACAGGATCCCGCGCCAGTCGCTTGAGTCCATCAATGAAGTACCGCGTGACGAGATCGGTGGCGCCGAGGCGGGCGACTTCCTCCGCCAGATACGCGAACATCAGCCGGCCGCGGAAGTTGTGCCGCTCCGCCACCTGCACTAACGTCTGGGCGTATCCGCCGCATGTGTTCTCGCGGCCGGCGGCGGCAAGATGGCGGAGCAGCAGCGCGGCGGAGCGGTACGTCGAGCGGCGGACTTCCATCACGCTGTCGTCCAGCAGCCGCACCACCAGCGTGATGACGGTGCCGAGCGCCGTGCTGGTCGCGGGGTCGAGCAGGACGCCCACTTCGCCAATGCGCTGCGCGACGACATTGCGCAGCCGCCAGTTCTCGCTTTCTAAAGGGACGTGGCAGAGGAGTGGGACCAGCCGCTCACGCTTCGCCTGACTGAGAACGCCAAGGAAGACATCCGCGTGGAGAACAACACCCAATCGAACCTCGTCCAAGTCACGCAATAGTAATTCAAAGGCGGTCACAAGGTGTGCCTCGGCAATTTCCTGGCCTAATATGAGGGCAAACTCATGTAGAGAGTGTGCAAGGGATTTACGCACTTTCCACTTAACATCCTTAAGTAACGTGGCATATGCATCTCCAGCCTCATTCCATCGTTCTTTTCCTACCACTTCTACAACAGCAGGAAATGAAAACGCACATGGCTCACTGTAATCCACATTTCCACTCTCAGACTGAAATGCCATATCTGTATATAATTTTAATAACTCAGGACTGAGATCACAATTACGCAGGGTGTGGAAAAACTTTCCTAAAAATTCATAAGCACTATTACGTACCCAGCGTGAAGTATCTTCCAGTAGAGGAAGATAAACTGGCACAAGTTTATTCACTCGTGCTTCAGGACCAATACCAAGTGAAACTTTTTCAATATTCTCAGCACACTCTTTACGAACGCCCCAAATCTCATCATTACATAAATTAAGATAAATAGGGAGTACAGCATTTTCTGCTGTATCCTGTTGAACCACGGCACATATATCCCCCAAATTTGCTCCAACAGCCTTACGGACAGAGAAGTTGCTATCATTTGCCAACAATTCTAATTCTGGTAGGACATTGTTTACACAACAGTTTTTACCAAATATAGATGCCAAATTATTAAAAAGTTGAGCGGCTACCACTCGATAATCCTCTGCTCGCTCATCATGGGCTAACATTACAACAACACTTAGTAAATGCCCCTGAACATGTTCTGGTTTTACAAGTTCTGCAAGTTTCTTCAAGGACACCAAGGCAGAGGAGGCAACCTCAACGTTCTTGTCTACTAGAAGCTCAAACCCAATGGGAAGAAATTTGCTCAGTAAAAACTCGTAACCAGCATCACCGCCTTCTTCAACAAAATATTGAGCCACCTCTGGAAGTTGTTGCACCAACATTCGTCGTACCAAAGGCTCACAATCGGAAGTAAACCCGCTTAATATTGGAACAATCAAATTAGCGCTTTGTTCAAATCCAGCGAACTTCACCGTTTCAACGACTTCACGAAGTAAAAACTCACGCTGCAGCGAAAATCCAGAAGTGTGGTAGTTTAGCAGACGATTAAGAGGATCAAGTGTGTCATCGATGGCGTATTCATTGAAGATGAAGTCCTCTCCAGGATCCTTTGTACCCATGTCGTCCATGATAGCAAATAGAAAAAAAAAAATGAAGGAGTTCTTTTCTTTTTTTTCTTCTTTTATAGTTTATTTATCTCTCTCTTTTGTTTTCCTGGTTATAGTAATGGTGCCACTCGTTTTTTTTTTCTTTTTTCTTTCTTTTGCCTCCTTTTTTTTTTTTTTTGTTATATTCCTCTTCTGTCCTCTTTTTTTTTTCCACGTATTCTTTATAGTCGTATTAAAAAGACTCGATCGATTGTTCAACGGTTTTTAAACAGGTAAGAGACCACAAATAAAAACAATAGACGTGACGACAGATGGTCGTGGAGGAACAAAATAAAAAAAAAAAAAAAGAGAACTCTTGCTTTAACGATGGTTTATCCTGATCTTTCAACAGTCACGAATCACCACCCTACTTTTTTTCTTTTCCTTTATTTCTTCTTCTTTACTCTTTTCACTCTTTACACTTTCTTTTCAGTTTCTTCTGTTGGACCGTTTATGTATTCGCACTCAACCCAAAACAGGACCTGTTGTTACCCTATTCACAATAGCGACAGGGATGGAGGTTAAAGGAAAGCGGAACACTCACACAAAACGAGAGAAACCGAAAAAAAAAGGTTGGTATTAAAGAATAAGGCCCAAAAAAAAAAAGAGGATTAAACAATAATAACAATAATAATAAGAAAGAACGAAAGAAGATGCAAATACAGTTCTCAATGAGGTCTGCACGCAACTGTCTCGCTTCTTTTTTTGTTGTTGTTATTGTTGTTGTTGTTATTCCTCTGTTTTTAATACTACTTCTTTCTTTTTTGTTTGTTGTTCCCCACGTGTCAACTTTCCCCCTATGATGTTAACTGCAGTCCGTTTACCTTTTCTCACTTCCGCCTGGTAGTTGTATGGGTTTTTTCTTTTTTTTTTCCGTTTACCTTCTCTCCCTTCTCTTTCTTTCGATGCTTCTCTGGGCGATCAGGTGAGTAAGTAAGTGAGGGGAGTGTCCTATTGCTTTAACTGCGCGTTATGCCTTTTCCTCAATCAATGTTCACACAGGCACACAAACACACAGACTCAAGCACGCACGCAGAAACGTACACGCACTACTTTTCTTTCTTCTTGTTTTTCTTTTTTAGAATTCCCTTCTCAATTTACTTACGTTTCTTTTTTCGTTTCCCTTTTTTAACTAGTGGCGAATCGCGCTTCAAATACTTGTAGACGCTTTCTTCCCTAGCTTCTCCACCACAGACCAAAGAAAGAAAAAGAAAAGAAAGCAAGGGCATATACAAGGATGTAGAAAGGAAAGAAAAACATTTTTTTTTTTATTACACCTTGGCTTACCTAGTTCATCCCAATCTCTTTGGGACCACTAATAACAATAATAATCATCATCATCACAACAATAACAACATTAATACTAATAACAATAACAACAATGATAATAAATAATAGTAATAATTCTGCCGTCATAATATTGCGTTAATGGACACACGTCAGGTGACACAGAGAACAAGGGGAGGGGATAAATCCCAACACACACAGACACATACATATATATATATATATATACAGAGAGAGAGAGAGAGAGAGAGAGAGAAACTAAAGATAAAGAGTTAGCATCCCCCACTATAAATGAAGAGAAATAAAATAAAAAAAAAAACTTGTAATGTGGCAAAACATGCAAAACACACCTCGCCAAAAGAAATCACAAGAAGAAGAAAACAAAAAGACTTAAAAATAAAAGTTAACAAAAAAAGAACAATTGCGTGGTGATAAATTTGCTGAACACGCACATTGATTAATTCTCCAAAAAAAAAAAAAAAACACATTCATCATAATCAAACACTACCTTGAGAGGACCAAAAATTAAACACCAAGATTCACACATATCATACCAAAAACAAACACAGTAAGAGAACTTGTGAACAGCATCATACAAGAAGAAAAACACCAAGATAAAGAGATAAAAAAAAAAAAATATGGAAATAATATATATATAAATCCATCTCCTTTATCTACAAAATGCAGGAACTGAGCCTCCACAAAAAAAAAAAAGAAAGAAATGAATAAATAAATAGTTTTAATAATTACAACTAGCTCTATTCACAAGATATGTATAATCACTTACATGTTGTTTAGCAACACCCACATCGGATGAAGAAGAAGAGCCAATAATCCTTCTTTACGTGCTTCCATTGTAGATAGTACAAGAAGAAATATCAACCGTTCTTCATGAAGATGTAATGCTGTTTCTACAACATCCTCTTGGGGTTCTTCACGTCGCTTAGAAAAACCACCGGGAATGGTTAATTTAAATGGAGCTCGATGAGAAGTGAGTGATTCAATCAATTGTTGCTTCTGCTCTTTTATGCCTTGGTCAACCTGATGTTGTTGTTGTGGTGGTTGTTGTTGTTGTTGTTGTTGTTTTTCTACACTCTCTCCTGTGGTCTGTCGTGGCGACTTTACATCACCAGAAGTTCCAACAGATTCCGCACCTACTTGAACCCAAAGACGTATTTGAGAAGATGACATAGTTTCAGGGCGCATTGTACAGCTTTGGGCAATCAACTTAGCAGGACGACGAAGTACTTTGTTGATACTAGAGTATGGGTAATCATCAGCCATAAAACCAATTATATTTTGGACATATAATCTAAGAAGTCCAAAGGCATACAATGGTGAATACTCAGGAGTCGTAAATCCAACACAATCAGAATGATTTAACTGACGAAGTACGACAGAAAAAGCATCTAGTTCCGTATTAATAAGTGCTGCCGCCCCTGGATAGTATTGTTCCATAAATGTATCACCATGTTCTTGCCAGCTAAAGGTACCACTCCACAATACAAAAGCATTACCAGAAGAACCTTTAATACGGTTTTCTGTTACTATATCATCCACGCCTGTATATCGTGTAAAGTCTATCCCACTTTGGTGGGTGTGTTCACCACCCATTCTAGGGCAAGAGGAGAGAGATTTTACTATTGAGTCAGGAAGTGTTATGCATGTCCACATCTCATTTGGAACAAATAATCCCATAACAAAACTACAGAGTGAGAGTGTTTCTGCCACAATACATGAAACCTGAATAAGTCCAGGTATACTCCACCCAGCGTTTTCAGTAGCACGAATTTCATCCACCGTCATTTGCCAAGGAATATGTGTTGCTATAGCTATAAATCGTTGAAGTGCCTGTAACTTTGGTGGTGGACCTTGTAATAACCAAGAATCGGCTGCAGTATCCGTGGAATGCAATTTTTCTGCAAAACGCACAAGTAAAGCTGCAAAACGACAAAAAAGGTATTCACATTTTTGGCGACTGGCTACCATAATAGCTACCATTAAACGTTCACAAATAGGTAGTGGACCTTCTTCAAAAAATATATAATGAAACGCTTTATGATGAGCCTGAAGGAGTTCTGGACAAAGGGAAAGAATATTATAATAATGTGGAATTTCCCCCATATCCATAAAAATGTGATATAGCATATCTAGTCGAACAGCAGAAACTGAGCGAGAGATGATTAACGTATTATTACAAAGAGCATCCCATAATGAAGGTTGTTCTCCTGCATCATCTCCTGTACTTTCATCTACTCCTGATTGTTCCTTTTCTACAGTACTACTACTACGGGACATTCGATTACGTGAAAGACCACCACCGCGTCGACGACTAAGTGGCATAATTGGTACAGGTGATGCTGGTGGTTCTTCTGCGTATTCAAGTTCCTCTAATACATGTAACTCCTCACATGGTTCTCCAGAGAGTAAACGTACAAGACTTGGTAATGCAGATGCTTGTGAGGGATATATATACCACTTTGTCTCTACTGTTGGGGTAGATAAATTATGAGATGACAGAGCTTCTGTCAAGGTAGAGGTCACAGGAACTCCATTTACAACGTAAAGATAAGTTTCTACTATATTCTTTTCTTTCTTATTTGTATCTTCCACTCCCTCTTCTTCTCCATCATTATCATTATTATTATTATTATTATTATTATTATTATTATTATCATTATCATCTTTTGCTTCTTTTTCTACATTTTTTTCTCCTATCCTTGTTCTTTTTGTAACTGTAGATGTAACTAAGGTAATAGTATCATCAACAGGTGAGAAACATTTTAGGATACTGCCACAGGATTCAAAAAATCGTGGGGATTGTTCTAATTGCCGTGCAATAACAAACTGAAGAGCCTTTGCTAATGGTTTACAAGGACATGAAAAGGCAGTTCCAGTAATATAACGAAGAATCGTCTGTGCATATTGAAGTTTCCCAACATTACTTCTTCTGCTGTGGAGACCAATACGTTGACGAGCATCACCACTATGAATACCTGTACCATCTTCACTGCTATAAACAACACCTGCATGACGTCTAAAACACTCTATATTTCCTGAAGAAGCATGAAACTCACAACAATGCATACTTATAGTAGTTCTGCTTGTATCTATACCACTAGAAGAAGAGTTCTGAGCACCCCCATCCGGGTCATCACTAGCTAGATTCACTGCTGAGATACAATCACCTCCTAAAGTTGATGTACTGTGCAAGAGGGTACGGGCTTCTAACAGGCATTGATTTGCAAGGTTTACCACTTCATTAATAGCCGTATATGTCTCTGTGCCAAGCATTTGAGAGTTTGCCATCTTGTTAATCACATCCGGACAACATAATGGATCTTGTTTTGCTGGGTATACCTCTTCCACCCCAATATCCACCTTTGTCGTTAAAGGTAATTGAAACAGTACCTTCAGTGAAGGATAGCCACTTCGCGCTTTAACCATCACCCCCCGCTCTCCCCTTTCTTTTTCCCGCTCCTGCTGTTCTCTCTGTTGCTGATACGACTCCCGCTCAAGTGTGTAAATACGGTTCATGATCTGTGAGGAACTCCATGCAAGCGCAACCAACAGCGTGGGGGATGACTGTGCGTTGAGTGAAGGATCCGTCCACTCCGCCGCCGTAGCCAGATAAGACGTCATTTAATTTCACACGTGCAAGAATCGTTATTTAAAGCAGAAAAGCAAATAAATAATAAACAAAATTTTTTTTTTTCCTTTTTTACAAAAACAAAAAAAAAAGGAAAACACTACAAAAATAAACACAAAAACAAAAATGGAAAACTATCCTATATAATCTACACAAAACAAGAAACTCATTACAAAGGCAGAAGAAAAAAAAAAAAAAATGGAAAAGAAAACGAAGAAACAAAGAAAGAGGAATAGGAATAAAGGACACACAAACGTCACTATATACATAGATATATAATAAAATGTACCAAATATCAGAATTCCTTGAAATGAATCATTTAACACAATGGATAAGGTCTTCTGAGGGGAAAAAAATGAGATGCTGCAACTTATCCTTTACAGCTGGATACTCATGCTTCATAGAATGTTAGCTCTATACTGAGAGGGTAACAGAAGGAAAAAAAAAAAAAAATTCTACACAACTGTCACACAACTCCCCTTTTTAAAATATATATATATATATATATATATATAGAGAGAGAGAGAGAGAGAAAACAGTGGTATCCATTATCTCTTTTACTTTTTATTGAGATACACAACGTCAGCACGATGTAGAAGGTGAGTGTAAATCAAGGAAGAAGTCAGTACTTCACCCACAATAGGAAAGGTAGTAATTGATTAAAATAAAACACAACGACAATGACAGATGCACTTCTCTATATTACGACTCAGAGAAGAAACAAAAAAAAAATTTTTTTAATGCTTGTAAACTCCTAAACCATAATATTCACACAAATACAACACTGAAAATAACACATGATATTTAGACATTAATAGAAACAAACATATACACATAAAAAAATAAAAACAAAGAAAAAAAAAACATCCAACACTCAAATCATACCACCAGTTCTCATTAAAGAGCCTAATTATCCCACCCTGCAGCAAACCACGGATGGGCAAAAATACCTTCAATGGTGATGCGATTTTGGGGATCCACTATTAACATACGATCAATCAAGTTGCTCGCTGCTTCTGAAATGTGCCTAATCTTATGATATTCACCACGCTCAATCTTCCCAAGTAAGGCATTCAAGTTAGGATCTTCAAATGGAAGTCGTCCCGCAAGCATTACGTATAGTACCACACCACAACTCCAAATATCCGCAGATGGGCCATCATAACCTCGCTCCATTAGAACTTCCGGTGCCACATAATTTGGGGTCCCGCACACCGTCTGCAGAAGATAATCTTGCTGTCGATTACTCAGTCCAAAATCAGATATCTTCAATGTACCATTAGAATCCAACAATAAATTCTCAGGTTTTAAATCACGATGGGCAAACCCCATACTGTGGCAATAGTTAATTCCAGCAATAAGTTGATGAAAGTAGTACCTAGCAGTAGGTTCATCAAAACGTTTGGCCGCAACAATTTTATCGAAGAGTTCACCTCCAGGGACAAACTCTAGCACAAGGTAATAGTGATTTTTGGACTCTAATACATCATGGAGTTCAATCACATTATCATGTCTTAGTGAGCGCATGATAGCGACCTCACGCAACATTTGATCTTCCATATTTTCTTTTTTAAGACGGGTTTTGTCAATTATCTTAATCGCCCATTCGCGCCCATTTTCATCCGTCGCTTGTCTTACTGTGGAGAAGTTACCTGATCCAATTTTTTTACCGAGCACATAATCTCCTACATTCATTTTCTTTTTCCCCTCCTTCTTTATACCTTCTTACGTGGTTCCTTGTTTTGTGCTTTATTATTCCTTTTTGTGGCACTTGAAAGATTTGTTTTTCTTTTCACCTTCTTTAGGTCTCACCAACTAAAGCTTCCCTGTGTTTTTCTGGGAGCAAGGTAAGACGACGTACATATTAATAAAAAGTAAATTTAATCATAAACAGGTCACAGAGAAAAAAGAATTAAAAAAAAGAAGAAAAACAGGGTAAACATATTCAAGCAACTCTTTTCAAATTCCATAAGGTAGCATTCCTCATTCACAATAATATGCCTTTTGCTATTGAAAGATTCACAAGAATGTTACGATTAACTGATCACAAAAAAAAAGTCAGAAGGGAGCAGCGAAAGAACAATGTTAAAACACCTAAAAAAAAAAGAAGGGAGGGTCTCAGAGATAGGCACATTACATGCATAAAAGCAAAAAAAAAAAAAAAAAAAAAAAAAAAAAAAAAAAAAAAAAAGAAAGAGGGGTAGGAGAATCTCCGATGTAATCAGCAAACAAAAGAAGGGTGAATAAGAACAATGAAGAAACACAAAAAATGTTCCTGTGAAACTTAAAGCACATAAATATATGAAATAGACAATCATTCGTCATCTATTCAGTTTCATGTCACATTCTTTATAAAGCAATATGTCTCTAGAAGAATATTTCTCCAGTGCATTCCCCTCCATACTGCCCTCCTTGAGATTCATTCAGCTAATACTTACAGGGAAGATCATCAACGAAAACCAAAGGGAAATTTGGTTTCCACATCTCATATGAAACCTCTTTATGTAAGAATCATAAGAAATCTCCCCCAATATATATCAATTAGCAAATATTTTATCTCCCATTACTCAAGATCACAATAATATAATATAAGCATTCGTTAAAATCCTGCAATCCATTACGCAATGTCACCCAAACGTTTAGGGTCCCACCCCACAGCAAACCACGGATGGGCAATAATACCTTCTACGGCAATGCGTTTTTTAGGGTCCACTGTTAACATACGATCAATCAAGTTGCTTGCTGCTTCTGAAACGTGCCTAATCTTATGATATTCACCACGCTCAATCTTCCCAAGTAAGGCATTCATATTACGATCTTCAAATGGAAGTCGTCCCGCAAGCATTACGTATAGTACCACACCACAACTCCAAATATCCGCAGAGAGACCGTTGTAACCTCGTTCCATTAGAACTTCCGGTGCCACATAATTAGGGGTCCCACACACCGTCTGCAGAAGATAATCTTGCTGTCGATTACTCAGTCCAAAATCAGATATCTTCAATGTACCATTAGAATCCAACAATAAATTCTCAGGTTTTAAATCACGATGGGCAAATCCCTTACTGTGGCAATAGTGAATTCCAGCAATAAGTTGATGGAAATACTGTCTAGCTGTAGATTCATCAAAACGTTTGGCCGCAACAATTTTATCGAAGAGTTCACCTCCAGGGACAAACTCTAGTACAAGGTAATAGTGATTTTTGGACTCTAATACATCATGGAGTTCAATCACATTATCATGTCTTAGTGAGCGCATGATAGCGACCTCACGTCTCATTTGATCTTCCATATTTTCTTTTTTAAGACGGGTTTTGTCAATTATCTTAATCGCCCATTTGCGTCCTTTTTCATCCGTCGCTTGTCTTACTGTGGAGAAGTTACCTGATCCAATTTTTTTACCGAGCACATAATCTCCTAGACGAGCTGTTGATACCATATTTAAAGAATAGTTAGTGGTGGTATTCCTTCAAAAACAATATTTCTTATTTTTTTACTTCTTTTGGTAAGTATTTGCCGTAAGATAACTATGAAAAACTTTTTTCTTTTTTTTTTTACCTTGACTTGATATCCTAACTGGGTTTCACTTAATCACTGAGTAAAAGCAAGTAAAATAAGAGTAAAAAAAATTATATCATGTTGTATTTATCAGTGATAAATGGAATGGGATTATATATATATAGTTGAGAAGCATCGAAGGCTGATGCTTTCATCTAGAAGAAAAACAAAAACAAAAAACCATAAAGTCACTCGCACAAATCTGCGATTTAATGCCGTAATAGGAAAAACTACTTCTCTTTCTTCAGTGTCTGAAAAAAAGAAAAAAAAAATAAATAGTTCGTATTCGTAGTAGTTAAAGAGGACGCAGAGAATGGTTTTCCTCCTGCTTTCTTCCCTCTCATATACGATTTTGAAAGTTTTTTATTAGCTGAGAAAAAACTTTTCCTTGCGGAGAATCCATGGTCGCTGTTGTGATCGACGTCGCATTATTAGCGTTAGTATCAATCATACGTTTCGCTTGATGCGCCTCCACCAACCAGACAGTTCCAAATGCATCCTCCAATTCTGCCTCTTTTGATATAAGGTAATTTGCAACATTGTTGTCAATATTATTATTAATAAAAGAGGTAAAAACAGTTGAGCTTCTAGGAGTTTCTTTACATTGGGAATGCAATTCTCTGTTATCAGGTGCAGTTGCTACAGTACCACCGCAATATTCTACTTTTACCTCTGAATACTGTACCCCAGAGGGATGAGAAACATAAAAGGATGAGGTAGGCCTATTATAGGAAGATACTGAGGTATCCCCTTTAAATAATCTTTTACTTTCTGCATTATTTAACAGTGACTTTGATACAGTTGAAGATGCATAAAGGTAAGCTCGAGCATCTTCAAAGTGGTCATCATCTCGTGAAATAAAATCTTTTTTTTCTACATTTAACTTTTTTGAATCGTGAAATCTATGTTTGAACTCCTTTGGTTTCAAGGAAGACCTTTCATTATGTAATGTTTCAACATTGCCATCTGATTTCATAGGTGATATAATAGGATCTACAAATGTTGATCCTAAACCAGTTTGTCCTGATAATGTATTTGCCTGGTCTTTTTTATTTATGTCACCTAAAGGAAGAGAAGATTTTTTCTCAGTATATGATTCTTGATCTTTTTCTTTATCATCATCGGCAGCACCAAGGTACCATAACATTCGTTTCTCATCGGAATCAGGACTTCGCATCATTTTTTTCTTCCATTCACGCAACAAATCCTGACGAGTAAGATATGATGCGTGTTTTCCAGCGTATTCTTGTAGACTTTGACTGCGACTTTTATAATCAAAAGGAGATTCTGAAAGGGATGGTGGCACCCATCGTTGCTCTGTACCTCTCAATACGGATTGTATGTATGGGTTACTAACACGCTCCTCGTCAGCATCGTCACCCTGTACTTGCGTAGTATCACCATGTTTTGGTGTTTCTTTCGTAAAAGCAGCAGTGGGAAAGGAATCCGTTACATACTCCTCTCTCATATTTCTCCTAACACCTTGCTGTCCCATTGTACTGATATGTCCTTTATTGACCCTAGTGTATGATGATGATAATGATGATGACAATACAGTGTTACTATTCCCAGTGGAACGTCTTTTATTTCCCGTAAAATTACGCTCTCCGTGTGGGGCGAGTGGCGGCTGTCGACGGTGAATATCCCGAACGTAACGCCCTAATTGCCGCTGCACCGCCTCACGTGATGGTGTGCGGACCATTCCCTCCATCCCTCTAACTCCTCTATCTTTTCTTGTTGGTGTTGGTGTTGGTGTTGTTCCTTTTCTTATTCCTCTTGTGATTGATGTTGTTCTTGGCTTCCGCGGAGGTCCGAAACTCATCAGGAACGGTGATGAGAGGAAGTGTACGCAAGAGTAGGGTGTGGGGAAATGAGAGGGAACGATAACACACCCTCACTGAGACTATTCCTCTTGGATACTTTCTTCTGGCCTCCCTCGCCTAAACCACCACTAGGATAGTGAGCGCAACACCTTAATCAGGGAAAAAAAAAACAAATCAAATGGAAAGAAAATAACATGAACACGTCATCTACAGAAAAGTACATTCGTATTGTTGTGTTTTTTTTTTTTTTTTTTTTTTTGTCCATACGCCACTTACGGCTGGATAAAAAAAAAAAAGAAAGAAAGCAAGCTGTCGTTCCAAAAGTAAGAAAAAAAAATTATCA